ACTAGGCGCTGGCGCGCTTCGATGTGCTACGCGCAGGAACTCAGATGATGGCGGCCCACCAACACATGGGGTGCTTGGTGGGTGGCCTTGTCCCTGGCGGCGTGAAGTTGGGGGAGCTCCGGTTTAGGGTTCAGGGGTTTAGGGGTTTAGGGGTTTAGGGGTTTAGGGGTTTAGGGGTTCAGGGTTTAGGGTTTAGGGTTCAGGGTTTAGGGTTTGGGGTTTAGGGTTTAGGGTTTAGAGTTCAGGATGCTTTGGGGTTTAGGGGCTTAGGGTTTAGGGTTTGGGGGTTAGGGTTCAGGGCACAGGGAGGGCCGCCATGAATTTCTTCAGTAGGTTCTTGTCAGATGATGCACAGCCTAAATCAGCCTAAGTTACAGCAAGTATAACCTAACTAAAGGCCCCCTCTCAGACTACTTCGAGCGCGGGACATCTCCTGGGAATTCCTGGAGCCCTGAACCGCAAAATGGCTCTTAAACCTTGGAACCCTGAACCTGAAAACTCTGAGAACTGAAGCTGTGAACTAGGCTCTCAAGAAACCACAGCTACAAGGTAGTTGCAGCTTGATTTCTTAAGTGAAGCCCCAGTAAACGCCCTAAAACCTAAGCACCAAGCCCTAAACCCATAAACCCCCAAACCCCCCAACCCCTTAAATCCCTCCCCAAACCCCCAAAACCCCAAAACCATCCAAAACCCCCAAACCCCCAACCCCCCAAACCCCAAAACCCCAAAACCCCGGCCCGAAACCCCGAAACCCCGAAACCCCGAAACCCCCAAACCCTAAACCCTAAACCCTAAACCCGAAACCCTAAACCCTAACCCCCCCTCATATAAGAAATTTGCTGGCCTTGAGATTCACCTCAGGGCTCCTCCCAGCAGCCAAAGATCTTGTTCCACACCTTCAGCTGGCCCTTCTTCGGGCCATCCTGACCCCAAGGACTCCCCAAGGGGGGGTGTGAGTCGTGTAGGGTTTAGGGTTTAGGGTTTAGGGTTTAGGGTTTAGGGTTTAGGGTTTAGGGTTTAGGGTTTAGGGTTTAGGGTTTAGGGTTTAGGGTTTAAGGGTTTCAGGGTTTGAGGTTTAGGGTTTTGGGTTTAGGGGTTAGGGGTTCAGGGTTTAGGGCCTAGGGTCTTAAACACATAAACCCCTCTGTAGGCTTTAGGGTGAGCTTAGGGGCTACCGCAAATACGAGAAACGCCCTATACTGCCGAACCCTAGTACCGGGTTTAGGGTTTCGGGTGTGGGGTTTAGGGCTTCTGACACGGGCAAGGTGTGAGTTTCTCTGCCTGCCATCGTTGGTCACCAATGCCAAGCCAAAAGGGAGCGAGCTTGCGGGCTCCCCTTATCGATCTCCTTCTCCTCCGTCTTCATCACCCCAAACCCTAAACCCTAAACCCTAAACCCTAAACCCTACACCCTAGACCCTAAACCCTAAACCCTAATCTGAGACATGTGTGGAATCGAGGGAGCTCCTAGACCTGCGCCTTCTTAAACAAACAAATCTTGGCTTTGAGGCAGCCAAGACCAAACCGGAAGCATACCCCGAGTGCCCAGCGATCAGGTATAGCGGAACATGCCAAAATTCAGCAAAAGACCGCAGTGTAATTTAAGGCAGCGGTTTAGGGTTTAGGGTTTAAGGGGTGTTGCGTGGTCTTGGGCATGGGACAGTGGGGCGGCGGGGGGAGGGGGGGAGGGGGAGGGAGAGGGGGGGGGGGGGCGGGGGCCAAGCGAGTGAGGCGTCGGCGATGGGCAGTCGGGAAAATATGGGGCGCTTGGGGTTTCCAAAGCTGAGAATCTCTAGAACCGCTCACTTTCCGGAGTTTCATCCCAAACCCAACCCTGAAGCTTGCATGAACGGAAGATAAGGAAGTCGGTATGTAGGTAAGCAGGTAGAAGGGTGCCTCGTCAGCCTTAAGGGTATGAGGGTCCCTCAAACCCTAAACCCTAACCCTAAACCCTAAACCCTAAACCCTAAACCCTAAACCCTAAACAGCAGCCCACTCCTTGACCTTCGGCACTCGCCCCTTCGGCTGCGGATGGCCAACCTTCACTTGTGGAAGGCATGGGGTTTAGGGTTTAGGGTTTAGGGTTTAGGGTTTAGGGTTTAGGGTTTAGGGTTTAGGGTTTAGGGTTTAGGGTTTAGGGTTTAGGGTTTAGGGTTTAGGGTTTGGGGACATTACCCTAAGGGTCCATGTACCTGAATAGAGACGACTTGGGCCTTAAAGTACCTCCTATTTAGGGACTTTAGGGCCCAAGTCCATAATAATAAGGTACATGGACCCTTAGAATAAGAATAGTCCAACATACACCAAACCCATACCCCTGAACCTATACAGATAGGAATTAGGAGGGATTGTAACCAAACCAGTTAAGTTCTTTCAGTATGCCCAAAGAGTATGTTGAAGATGTTTTAGACCTACCAGATTACCCCAAGGCTTCATGTAGCTCTTTTGTATATACTTGGGCCCCAAACAAAGGTTTAAGGTTTAGGGTTTAAGGTTTAGGGTTTACTTAAGGCCCAAATACTCCCGATTTAGGTACATGGGCCCCGGCCAGGGTAGGTACATGGTCCCTTTTTTGCGGGCCCTAAAGAGGCGACCCCTTACATACCCCTTACATACCCTATGCAACCCAAGGGCCCATACATCAGAACCCTTTAAAACAGATAAGGACCATGATAGGCGCCCATGTAACTACCCTCAACAAGTTCTGAGCAACCCTATGTACACTTCATCCTGTAGCAGCAATGACCAGCCCTGCTTAAATCAAGTAGGGTTTAGGGTTTAGGGTTTAGAGTTTAGGGTTTAGGATTTAGGGTTTAGGGTTTGTACCTCTATGGCACCCTATGGCCGACTTGTTTTGCCTACAGTCTGTGGAAACGGTCTCAGCAACAATGCTCTCGTCGCAATGGCCGCGCAATTCGACAAATGCCCGAACAGCTTGCAACGTGGGCCTGGTATAAGAATTGAATACGAATACATGTATATATATATATACATATATACAAATTTGTTTTGTATGTATGCAGGTATGAATTACATGTTTGTTTATTGACATGTGTGTGGATCACAGCAACAAAGCAAACTCGCCTCCAACGACTGTCTCCCAAACCCTGAACAGACCCTGCAATCTTGTGTCAGGAAAACAAGGCTCCAAAAAGGTTGAGGAACCTATTGGCGTCGATCTCTGGTAACATGGGGTTCAGGGTTTATGCAGCGTCCCACCCTAAACCCTAAACCCTAAACCCTAAACCCTAAACCCTAACCCCTGAACCCTAAACCCTAAACCCTAAACCCTAAACCCTAAACCCTAAACCCTAAACCCTGCGCTCGCCTCGAGAGCACCTCCAGGGGCGGGCGAGCGGATGTTGCCGCCGAAGCCGAGGCCGGGCGACCTCGCCGGGGTCTTTGGAGCCTGCCGAAGCTGTGCTGGGGTTTAGGGTTTAGGGTTTAGGGTTTAGGGTGTAGGGTTTAGGGTTTAGGGTTTAGGGTTTAGGGTCTAGGGTTTAGGGTTTAGGGTTTAGGGTTTAGGGTTTAGGGTTCAAGAGCTCCTTGTCGAGCAGTTTCTCGTTCAGGCTCGTCGTTTATAACATTGAGAGATACAAAGTTTCTTCTTATTAGGATGGCTCAACAACAAAACTCATAGGGTTCGCAAGGGTTTAAGGTCTCAAGGGTTTAGGGTCTCAAGAGTTTAGGGGCTCAAGGCCGGGCCTGTGCCCACGAATTTCTGGGCATATGCCCACGAATTTCTGGGCCTATGCCTACGAATTTTTTTGGCCTGTGCCCACGAATTTCTGGGCCTATGCCCACGAATTCTTGGGCCTTTGCCCCGTGGGCAAGGCCCAAGAAGTTCGTGGGCATAGGCTCAGAAATTCGTGGGCTCCCACGAAATAACGGGGCCTATGCCCACGAAGAACGGGCCTATGCCCACGAATGCCATTAAGGTTTCTAATTCTATGGTAGGAGAGGTTTAGGGTTTAGGGTTTAGGGTTTCGGGCTCCAATGTAGTTCCTGTTTGGGTTAGTGATAGGGGATTCAAATAGGGTTTCGGGTTTAGGGTTTAGGGTCTAGGGTTTAGGGTAAAGTGAAGCCGACAATTGGTGGTCATGTACCTTATACTACTTCTATAAGCCCCGTGAAGGTATGGGGGCCATAAACCCTTCCGGGGTTCACCCCGACCCCCAAGGAAAGGCTCGTAGCATACTGGTCGCAGTCGACCATGGGCAGCACAATCTCTTGCGTTGGGGTTCAGGACAGGGTTTAGGGGTTCGGGGTTGAGGCCTTGGGGTTTAGGGTTTAGGATTTAGGGTTTAAGGGGTTATAGGGCTCATGATGAGGGCATTCAGGACTGGGAGGGTTTATAGGGTTTGGGGCTCATGGTTGCCATGGTTTAGGGTCTGACCCGAAGGACGGAATGAAAGCTTCGTAGGGCTATGAATAACTTCTGTTGGCTGACTTCTGAACCTCTCCTGAAAGTTTAACTTTTAGGCCCCTTATTGTAGTTTCTACAAAACCCCCAAAATTTAGTGGCCTAAGAGCCAGCCAGAAGAAAGCCAAGTTAAAAATAATGGCGTATAGGACCCGGTCCTATAGAATGAGCTTAACTTCAGGCACAAGTGAAGTCCGACCCTGCTCTACTGCCTTGACTCTGAACTGCAAGCATTGAGAAGAGAATCAGGGGTACCCTCTTGGGGGGTTCCTATAGTAAGGATTATACTATTTTGGGTAATATTAAGGGTACCCTCTTGGGGGAAATGCCCATTTGATCCCTTTTGGGTGTGGAGCCTGGCTCGTGGCTTTTTTGCCTGGGCCCCTCTCTTGAACATGCCAGCTGCGGGACTACGAAAAACAGTACATTCCTTGGGGACCAAGTGAACCCTAAAAGGGTTTATGGTTCATATACCCTGATAGAAATCATAGTAGTATAGGGTGTGTGATCCTAATTTTGGGGTTCAAGTCGTCCCCAAGGGTCTCAGACGGTTCGCCGTCAAGGTGTCATAATCTCATCATCTTCTCCCTGGCAGGGGTGAACCTCCAAAAGCACTGAAGCGACCCCTGAACTCGTCGTCCCGTAAGAGTGAGCGCCGCCTATGCTGTGCCTCGTGCTCACGCCTGGCTTCGCACTGACGCTGTTCGTCGCGCTCCCGCCAAGCGCGGCGCTCGCACTGCGCGCTGCGCTCACGCCAAGCCTCGTGTGCAAGCTGCAAACGCTCTCGAAGACGAGCGTTCATCTCGCGCTGAACGTTCTGGTCCTCACCTGGGGGACCAAATATGAACCCTAAAAGGGTTCATGGTTCATATACCCTAGTATAGGAATCATAGTAGTATAGGCTTTATGATCCTAATTTTGGTATGGTTCATATACCCTAGTATAGGAATCATAGTAGTATAGGGTGTATGACCCCAATTTTGGTATGGTTCATATACCCCAATATAGGAATCAGAGTAGTATAGGGTGTATGACCCAAATTTTGGTATGGTTCATATACCCTAGTACAGGAATCATAGTAGTCTAGGGTGTTGATCCAATTTTGGTATGGTTCATATACCCTAGTATAGGAATCATAGTAGCATAGGGTGTATGATCCCAATTTTGGTATGGTTCATATACGCTAAAAAAGGCATCATAGTAGTCTAGGGTTTAGGGTTTAGGGTTTACGGTTTAGGGTTTACGTAGGGTTTAGGGTATAGGGTACAGGGTATGGGGTGTATGACCCCAATTTTGGGGTTCCTTTCGTCCCCCCGGGCACCTTGGCTCTCTTTTGCTGGGGCTTTGTGACCTTGTGCATGAAGCTGCGGGGTGGTCTCAGGCGACTCCTGATCCACCTTGATCTCCTTGTAGGGTTTAGGGTTTAGGGTTTAGGGTTTAGGGTTTAGGGTTTAGGGTTTAGGGTTTAGGGTTTAGGGTTTGGGGACATTACCCAAAGGGTCCATGTACCTAAATAGGGAATACTTGGGCCTTAAAGTACCCCCTATTTAGGGACTTGAAAAAAGGTACATGGACCCTTAGGGCCAGGCCAGTAACCATATTGTAAAAAGGGCACCCTTCTTTTTGGTTGGTTACGTTAAAAAAAGGGAAACCCATAGTCAAAAAAACAAAGTAAAGGGTACCAACTGGGCTGCCAAGTCTCACACTCTCCACGACCCTTCTTCTGCTTCTTCCCCTCACTCTCCGGAGCTTCTGGCTCAGTCGGGTCGCGCACCTCGCGTGGGAGAGCTCTTTTCCTCTTCTGCTTGTCGAGCTTCGGCGGATCAGGAGCCCTCTCAGAGGGTCGTCGCAAGCGGCGGCCGAAAGCCAAAGAAGGCTGATCTTCGAGCTTCGGTGGATCGGGAGCTCTCGCAGAGGGTCGCCGCAAGTAGCGGCCGAACACAAAAACCCATGGGCAGTTTCCAGCAAAGTTCGCGGTCTCAGTCACAAGCATCGCACAGGGCCAGGCAAAGAATCTTCAGTGACGTTGGGGTATGAAGTTACCCACATGCGAGCCTGCCTACACATTCCGGAGTATTCCCGATTCATGCATCACTGAGGCTGGTGAACTTGAAGTCTTCATTAGCAGCAATCATTCGCATACTCAGATGTTCATACATGGAGGGGGGGGGGGTTTCCGAAAATAGGGGTACCCTATTGGGGTCCTTATTATACGGGAATCCTACTATTTGGGAGTCCAAAAAACCGTGAAACCCGAAACCCTAAACCCTAAACCCCCTATCTTCGGGATGTCTACAGGTACATGTATGACCCTGCGCCCTCGAACCCACAGCAGCAGCGACCCGGAGTTCATTCGTGAGGACTCCAATGGCTTGGACAGGGTTTGGGCTTAGGGTTTAGGGTTTTCAGGGTTTAGGGTTAGGGTTTAGGGTGTGGGGTTTAGGGATTAGGGTTTAGGGTTCAGGGTTTGGGGTTTGGGGTTTGGGGTTTTGGGTTTGGGGTCTGGGGTTTGGGCTTTGGGGTTTAGGGTTGGGATGTTCCCTCTTATACAAAAAGTCCTTAATAACCCCCCCCCCTACTATAATTCCCTAGTAAGGACTGTGAGTGCAAAAAGGGGAACATCCCGAAAGATAGCCGAGACTCTACGAGACTCGAGAGATTGCTGTTACCCTTCCGTAAAGCAACAACTGCTCCACGGAACGAAAATTGTGAAGGTGTAGGGCTTAGGGTTTAGGATTTAGGGTTTAGGTGCTTGCCCGGCTGGTAGGGCTTGTACCGATGCCCCACACCCCTTATATACCTGTAAACCCAAGGGCCCATACGTCAGAACACATTGAAGGAGGGTGAGGGCCCAAAGAACAGGGCCCATAGACTACCCTTAGACAGCAAGACACGCCCTAACCCTAAACCCTGAACCCTGAACCCTGAACCCTAAACCCTAAACCCTAAGCCACTGCCGCTAGCTGCCCGGGCAGAGTTTTCGCGGCATCGAATCCTGAACCTTAAAGACTATCAACCCTGAATGAACCCTAGACCCTAAACCTTGAACCCTATAAACCCTAAACTCTATAAACCCTAAACCCTAAACCCTCAACCTTAAGCCCATCAACCCTATAAACCCTCAAACCCTTACAACCCCTATAAACCCCATCAGCCCTATAAGCCCTTTGAACCCTACAAGCCCTATAAACCTCTACAAACTCTATTTCAAACTTAAAACAAAAACCCTAAACCCCATACAACCCCTAACCCGTTTGATCAAAAAACAGTGAAAAATAATGAACAAATAAACCCAAAAAACACCTTAATCATAAACATTGAGCCACACTTGCGCCTTGGCCTTGGGTGTCCGCGACTTGCGTCGGGGATGGCCGGCCTGTCCCGGAGGTTTGTTAGGGTCTAGGGTTTAGGGTTTAGGGTTTAGGGTTTAGGGTTCAGGGCTAAGGGCTTGGGGTTTAGGGTTTAGGGTTCAGGGTTTAGGGCTTGGGGTTTAGGGTTTAGGGTTTAGGGCTAGGGCTTTAGGCTTTTGGGGGCCTTAGGCTTGCCTTCTCTGGCACCTTCTCGTCCATGTCCACGTCGGCGTCTGCGTCGGCATCCATTCCTCGGACTCCGTGGCTCCGGTGACCCCCCGCGTACTCTCAAAGAAAGTAACAGAACCAGACAAAAACACAGAGGGTTTAGGGTTTAGGGTTTAGGGTTTAGGGTTCAGAGTTTAGGAAGGTTTAGGGTTTAGGATCTAGGGTAACCCCACCCACACACACACGCAGAGACGGAGAGGGAAACAGAGACAAAGCACAGCTGCACTCACCCCAATATCTTTAGACGCTCTGCTTGATTGTGACAGATCGAAAACCCTAAGGGTCCATGTTGTTATGTACTTGGGCACTAAAGTCCCTAAATAGGAGACACTTTAAGGCCCACGAATTGCCTGCTTAGGTACATGGACCCCTAGGGAAACCGTCCAAAAAAGAGCCGAAGCCCTAAACCCAAGCCCTAAACCCTACACCCTACACCCTACACCCTACACCCTACACCCCAAACCCTAAACCCTAAACCCCAAACCCTGCAATACCTTTTCTCGGGAAGCTTCCTCGGGGTGGCGAGAGTCCCGCATCGAAGAGATCTGCCTGACCAAAGGAATTCGGACGCAGGCGGAAGTGGGGGGGGGGGGGGGGGGGGTGTTAGGGTTTAGGGATTGGGGTTTAGGGTTTAGGGTTTAGGGTTTAGGGTTTAGGGTTTAGGGTTTAGGGTTCAGAGCTAGAACCTTGCTGACTCCTTTCAAGCCCTTCTAGCTTAAGTAGCAGACCGCGAACAGGGTCCGGGGTTTAGGGACCCAGGGCCCCAACCAAGGCCCTGAATCCTAAATCCTAAACCCTAAATTAACCCTAAACCCTACACCCTAAACCCTACCGCAATAAGCTCGAGCTAAGACTTAGGAAGTCCGAAACGGACTTCGCTGAACTCACCCGAAACACTTACCCCTGAAAGTTCCCAGATAGTGCGTGTTCCTGACGTAAAGGATTCTGGAACAAAAACCTGATAAGGGTGCCAAAGGAAGGGGGGGGGGGGGGGTGGGAAACCCACCCACCTGACATTGGCCTAGACTAGATCCGACCGACAAACAGAGAGCAAAAGGACTGGACGCCCTAAACCCTAAACCCTAAACCCTAAACCCTAAACCCTAAACCCTAAACCCTAAACCCTAAACCCTAAACCCTAAACCCTAAAGCCCTCAACCATGGGCCCCGTGCGCGGGCCTTGGGTGTAAGGCCCCTGCGCTGCAACCGCGCCGCCAGCGGCATGGCCTGACATCGGGCAGGAGGCCGGGGTTCACGGGGTTGTTAGGGTCTTTTCCAGGGTTCTGAGGTTTTGTAGGGTTTCTAGTTGTAGGGTTTTGTAGGGTTCGTAGGGCGTATGGGGCTTATTAGGATTTTTTTGGGGCTTCAGGGTTTGGTTTAGGGGTTTAAGGGTTCCTAGGGCTTCTAGGGCTTATAAAAGGTATTGTGGTTTTTAGGGCTTGAGGTTTTTAAGGTTAAGGGATTGGGGTTGTTAGGGTTCGCAGGGCTTGTAGGGTTTTCAGGGTTTATTGAGTTTGTAGGTCTAGAGGGAGGGCTGCAGGGTGGTTAGGGACTGGGGCACAAACCAGTTCATATCTGAATATTTATGTACATGTGCATATACATGTACATATATACATATATATATATATATACATACACACATGTATATTACGGTACTTCCCGAAATAGGGGTACCCTTACATATTATGCCCCAAAATACTATAGGATTGGGTACTGCATCGAGATTGGGACTGCCCTTTAGGGTTTTGGAGGTTTTGGGGGGTTGCTTCGGGATTTGCTGATGGATGTGGGTTTAGGGCTTAGGGTTTAGGCATTTCACAAAGAGGGTTTGGGGGTTGCTTGGTGAGAAGTGGCAGTATGATCAGGGTTACGGGTTTTAGGGTCTAGGGTTCAGGGTACCCTAACCCCAAAACCCAAAACCCAAAACTCTAACTCCCTAAAACCCTAAAACCCCAAAACCCCAAAACCCCAAAACCCTAAAACCCTAAAACCCTAAAACCCTAAAACCCTAAAACCCTAAAACCCTAAACCCTAAACCCCCTCAGTGGCCCTGAGCCCTGAGGCTCCATCGTCCATGTCTGCGTCAAGGGCGGTCTTTCCGCGGCCTGGAGGTTTAGGGTTTAGGGTTTAGGGTTTAGGGATTGGGGAAAAGCCGCCCAACACCCCAAAACCCAGAAAGGTCTAGGCCTGAGGAGCCTGGGTTCCTGCGTGGGACGATAGGGTTGTTAAGACTTTAGGGTTTAGGGGTTTAGGATTTAGGGTTTAGGGTTTCAAGGGGGGTGTGTAAACTCGGGTTTGGGGTTTAGGGTTTAGGGTTTCGGGTTTAGGGCCTCCCTAATACTCACTGCTACCTCTAAGGCTCCCTAAGCTTCTCGAAGGTTCCCTATGCGTACCTAGCCCCCTCCCCCCCCCCCCCCCCCCCCCCCCCCCCCCCCCGGAACCCTATATAAACCCTAAACCTCAAACCCTAAACCCTAAACCCCAAACCCTAAACCCCAAACCCTAAACCCTCCCTTAAGAACCCTGGCAGCTTTGGGGTTTTGTCGAGCTCCAGGGAGCTCCGAGTGGAGCCCTAAATTTTGGGGAACTTGGGCTTTTGGGGGGTGTAGGGTTTAGGGTTTAGGGTTTAGGGTTTAGGGTTTAGGGTTTAGGGTTTAGGGTTTAGGGTGATGATGCCCTTTTCTATATTTTGGGGACTCTAGGGTTTTGTGGGGTTTAGGGTCTAGGGCCATAAGGTTTAGGTGGAGGGTTTCAAGTGGTTTGGGGGGTTTCAGGGCTTTGGGGTTTAAGGCAATGAGACCCTATTCCAAGCTGAGTAAGCTGAGCCCTTGAAGGCGAGATCGAGTTAAAGGGTCCAGTGATCTCCCCCCTAAAGACCCGAAACACCCTCCCAGTAAAACCTGGAATGAAACAGAAAAGCCTGGAAACAAAAAAAAACATACAACACCTGGAATAAATGCCTTGCCATTTATCAGACCCCAGTGGCGGGGAGAGAGCAGCGCGTCAAAGCTGAGTGTCGACCGCTCCGCCTGAGGCTCGCGTCATGGGCCGAAAATCCCCATTTAGGGGCCAATATTGAGGGACTATGCAACTCCCCTAAAGAGCTCCGCCTGAGGGTCTGCCCCTCTGACTTTGGTTGGTTGAGGCCGTTAGGGTTCAAGTGAGGTGTCCAGTAACTCAGAACCCTAAACCCTAAACCCCAAAAGTTGCCCTGCCAACTGGTAACCTATCGGATTCCTGGCCCTCATGCTGCAAGTACCGACTATTCCATATACCAAAGCCCGTAAAGATACCAGTAATAAGCCGGAGATCTACCTCAAAATCCACTAAGTCACAAACCCCAGGCCCTAAAACCCCTAAATCCTAAACCCTCATATCTAAACTCCTTTTTGGGAAGTGCTCCCACAGGCCC